CCGGTCCGGGTCCGTCTGGTCCGGGGGGAGGGTGCCGCATGCGGCAAAGCGGACCGGACCGGACCGGACGCTCGTCCGGTCCGTCTGCTTGCAAGTATGGTTCAAACTCTGCATTATATGCAGCAATGATCATCCACAAACGCAATCTACAAATGCAGTGTGACAGTACGATACATTCACAAACGCAATCTAGAAGTGTTGACAACCGAAACTACCAATATGATCTTGCTTGCAAACAACCCTTCCCAACCAACATCGAAGGGAAACCATGGCGTTTGACCACTTAAAATGCCCACGCCCAGGGATAGTCTACAACTTTGTTAAATGACGGGCCATAAGTGAAGGGGCCTTTCTTAAATGAAGGGATAATCTGCATACTCTACAGCGTTAGATCAGCAGAATAGCTTTTTAGCTTTGTTAACCAAAAGCTATCCACAGAGGATACTCACCACTAGGCCCTCAAAATTGCAGAAACACAAAATGAGGGACCAGATTGAATCCTTTTAGGACTCGATCTAGCTGCTGATTTTGCGATGCTGCAATTTTGAGTGCCGACTGCGAGTATGCCCTCGGGCTTTCCTTTCCCCGACAACTGGACACTCTGCTATGTATTGCCAAGAGCGAGGATACAGAATGTGCAACAACAATGTGTAAGCAGTTCACGCAGTAGTTAGTAAAGTCAATTTTACCTTCTTTTAGACCCTATGAACAGGTTCCATACCGCAGTTAGCCCCGGGGAATCACAAGTCTTTACGGAAATTAGACAGGGCATGGGCTAGAAGAAAGGGGGATAGAAAAGCTACCCACAGTGACAACGACAAACTTTCTCAAAGCTTGCTGCAATAGCCCCACCACACATATTCATAGCACTGTGATGATGAGCGCACCTCAGCCCAACGGGACGCCTGGCAGGGCCTGTGTTGGAGGGTTGGAGGTTTTGGCAAAAGCAGCATTGGCCTCCACAACGTGTCTCTCTGGACTATGCAGAATCATCCACCTTTTTTTTTGGGGGGGGGGGGGGGGGAGAGCAGGGGGGGGGAAATCTTCCACATTTTCAGAGCCACATGACAGCCAGGAGAAGTCCAGTTGGCACAAGAGAAAAATGCGCAAAGAACCAACAGCCCGTCCATGGAGGGGCTTTTACATCCCTCCTCGAAAAACGTCAGTGATAATAGAAAGGAGAATCACTCCATAACTTTAATGGGGTGAGCAAAACAAAAGGCAGGAGGTAGGAGATTTGCCCACCGTGAAACCACACCAGTTTCATGCCTGTGAAACTTTGGTGAGCACAACTCATTTATGCTCTTTGGGCTAGCTGCAATAAACGGACCAGTGCAACCTCCTGCTAACTTAACCCCTGCGTGTATTCGCATTCACATCTCCCAGCACTGATTGAACCACAAGGCTGTTCTTCCCGCACCATAGAGATGGTGAATGGTAAAGCCCAGAGTATGGAGCACCATAGAGATGCCGACAGAGGAATACAATGCAAAACTGATCATCTGCCTGTGAAGCGTACAATCCAGCACTCAAATGGCCGCTTTGGTAGAGTAATCAATCTCTTCAGAGTTCTTAAGTCCCACTCCATGGGGATTGCTCAATGACAGACCGGCGAACTGGATGGATATTTAAAATAGGACAAAGATGTGCATAGCTGCACACATAGAAACAGATGGATAGAAGGACGAGCACAGCCATGGATGGACCGACGGATTGACGGATGAACAACTGGGCAGATGGACCGATGGACATCTGCCAATCCTTTGTTTTGGTCCTCCCTGTCCCCCTGTTGGATGGGGTCCAAAATGCCTGGTTAGTGAAGGTCTGGTCCTTCCACACTCCTTAACTCCTCTTCTAACTTGCCCTTCCTTTAGTCCTTAACATGTTGGGAATTCTAGAGTTCTTGACAAGTGACCGGGTCTTCCACCGCAGTTTTGTGCAGGGGCTCCTTTTTCTACCCATCCAGAAAGCAATCAATCGTTTGTGGCAAATCATCAGAGGCTTGGTGGGAAGATGACCCTCCTGGCAATGAGGTAAGAGACCCCCTTGGTGAGCAAAGGGCGCCAAAAACAGATTAGGCAGAGCATACGAGCTCCGTTCCCCATGGCACGCACTCGCCAGAATATTGAGCAAATGCCTACCCGTAGTAGTGTAGCAAGCCCAAGCCCCTATACCTCATACGGGTTATACCCAAGATCCCTTCCCACTATTATGCCCACTGGATTAATCAACCTTCTAAAGTTTTGCCAGCGAGTCCAGGCAGAAATTTTCACTGGTTTCACACTTTAGACGTTTCCCCAAGATCCCTTCTTCCCACGATCGTGAATTTTGCGCCATAGATTGTGGACAAAGCGCGACCTAGGGGCCTGATAGGGCCTCGCTCCACCACTTACCAAATTTGCACCGCCTTAGATTTTGTCTTTTGTGCACGTGGTGGGGCGAGACCCATAGCGTATGAAAAATATGGCATCTTTTATGTGCATGCATGCCGGTTCGGAAAATATGGCATCTTTTCTGCCCATGCATGCCGGTTTGGAAAATATGGCATCTTTTCTGCGTGTGCATGCCAGTATGGAAACTATGGCATCTTTTCTGCGCGTGCATGCCAGTATGGAAACTATGGCATCTTTTCTGCGCGTGCATGCCAGTATGAAAAATATGGCATCTTTTCTGCGCACGCCAGAACCGCTCATTCAATCTTCTTTCTTAGTTAGTTTTGTTCCACTTCGTTTCTTTCTTTAAAAAGTTTCCTTTCCATAAACACGCAACGCAAGGTAGTTTCTTTGATGCATTCAGTAGTAGTGTTCTCCAAGACAGTGGAAAGTGCTTTCATGGGATTGGGATATTAAGACATGAAAGCGCCTGCGGCTATTCGGGCCTTGTTCAGTCGGATAAGGTTGCCGTCGCATGCTTTGAAAGACGCAACACAGGAGTTTGTGAGTTATTACCGTCTTCTGACGAGGTTAACAGTCTTCTTCAAACCATCGTCGCCATCTCATGTTCTTTCTCTCGTTTTCTTCTTTTGAATACCCTATTCCTAGGGGTAGAAGAGCAGATCACACCGACAATGTGGCCTTCATTCCCACACAACGGCAGCTGAAGATCTTCTTGGGGTAGAAGAGGGGACCACACTGAGAATGTGGCGTTGATCGCTCAAGCTCAATGCTCGCTTCCACCTCTCTCGCTTGTTTATTACTCAGCAGTAGATTTCGGCCAACACGCAGAGCCATCCATCACAGTTCGTATGCGTCTTATCAGAGCCATCACGCAAAGGCATCCATAACGCAGATGGCATCCATCACGCAGAGGCATCCATCACGCAGATGGCATCCATCACGCAGATGGCATCCATCACGCAGAGGCATCCATCACGCAGAGGCATCCATCACAGTTCGTGTTATCAGCTAGTACAGTCCCTCGGACACACGATTGCTTGGCATCGGAGTTCAGGTTGCCAATAGGCGTAATTGATCATTCCTGGGACTCCTTGAGCACGAGAGAGACGCGCAAATAGGATAGGGGTAGGTAGAAAGATGGGCAGATAAATAGATAGGTAGAAGATTAGATTACAAACCGACATATTGGAAGACAGGCGGGCGAACAAGTAGATAGATAAACATCATAAACAGATAGACATAACTGTGTGCACAGGAAGGGATGAATACGAAGAGAGGGCGAGGAAGGTACATCAATGGACGGATGGGTAGACAGCCAGATACACATAGATCGAGCGATAAGGATCAATAGATACAGAGATGGAGCTGTACACAGATCGACATAGATAGATAAATACAGATATAGGCAGACAGATATAAGCAGATAGATATTGTCACACCCGATAAGTGATTATAACGCCGCGGAAGAGGAGATCAAGAAAGAAATAAGCAGGAGGCAACAATACTGCCTAAAGATTGGTGTATGTAGATATAGATGTTTCCATACGTCTAGGTAGATATATAGATAGATAGATAGATAGATAGATAGATAGATAGATAGGTAGGTAGATAGATAGATAGATAGATGTAGATGTACAAACACGCAAAGTATATCCAATCTCTCGCACAGATAACAAAAATGGAGAGAAGGTGTGGGGGGGAAGGTGGTCGAAACACAACCAGCGGCAGCAGTGCCGACTGCTTCCGCGGCGATAACCGCGGCGATAAGAAGGTTGAAAAAGGCGAAAAACAAGCGCGTCGGGTCCGCACGTGTTCGTCATCTCAACCCGAAAAGTCGGAGCAAAGTGGAAATCTCGTTCGTCGGACGGTCTGTTTGGCGCCGAAAAGAGGATATCTTCAGCCGGGTCGATCGCCCACAAGTTACTTTTTTTAGCCCGTGCACTGGAGCTTAGGTAACATTTTTCGAGTGAAGTCGCGTTCGTGAGCTTTTTCTCAGCTACCTTGCGTCGGTTTCCCCGTCTTTCGTCATTCTCTATGCCTTTTACTCTACTGTTTGCTGTCTCATACTCTCTCACCTTCCTCTTATTCACAAGCTGTCGTGTTGCTGACTGAAGAATGTCATTTTCATCAAAAGTCTGTCTCTGTTGACAAACACATCCGCAATAACGACTGCGCCAATTACGTCATCGATCGCTGAAGTGTTCCACGCTGAACATGGAAGAGGACGGCCAGCAAGCTTTGTGGAGAAGAGGCGGAGGAAGAACACTCCTGCTCCTCGCCGGGAAACAGGAAGCGCGCTGAAAGAGAAGCGCAGCTGAAGAGGAAAAGATGTGGGCGTATGAAAAAATGGTAATAAAACGAACCTTGAACCCGGTCAAGTCGCGCATTCACAAGAAGGGCGAATGAAAACGGCATCTATATGGGAGCAACCCGTTCTTCTGCTACCTTATCAAGGAAGCGGAGAAAAACGTAAGCTGCAATGGTGGATAGGGGGAGTCACCAGACGACGAACGATCCGATCCTTCAGTTCTTTTTTTTTTTTTTTTTTTTTTTGTAAGACTCTGCAGAATCTAGTAGGGTGGGTGATACGAGCATATCCCCTCCTACTAGGTCTGCTTGGTCACTCCATCTATTGGTGGGGAGCTGCACCTGCGATCCTTCAGGACTTCGCAACTCATTCCCACTAATGCTGTCCTCCGCGTACTTGACGGCCAAACGAGCTACGTAACGACTCGTCCTGCCCACATGATGGATCAGCGTGTCCACCGAAGGGTTCACGGTACGCACCTAACGGCTCCCTGTAGAAAGACCGTCCGCACGGTACGCACCTAACGGCTGTGCTAGATAGAGAGAAAGAGAGAGAGAGTCTTTGCACTTTGCACCCACATGGGTCTCTCGACCTAGAAAGGCCGTCCGCACGGACAATCGCCCGTGAAAGAACCAAAAGACGCCCTTCGGACCCAAGCTCCGGTTGTTACATTGGCGGGAAAAGTTCACGAGGCGCGGTTGTTACATTGGCGAGAAAAGTTAACGAGGCGCGGTTGTTACATTGGCGGGAAAAGTTCACGAGGGGCGGTTGTTACATTGGCGGGAAAAGTTAACGAGGGGCGATGAACCAAGAAGCCGGCGGGACTGAGGACTCGTAAGCCGTGGAAGAAAGAGTCCGCCAAAGAAAAAGCCGACGTGCTCTCCGCAGCAGCGAACAAAGGCAAGAGGGACTTGGGAATGGGAGCTGTTGTCCTCGCGAAAGAGAGAGAGAGAGAGAGAGAGAGAGAGAGAGAGAGAGAGAAAGGGGGGGCGGAAGACGGAGCTGTGGGCTCGTAGGAAGAATATAAAAATGGAAAAAGATGTAAGAGCTCACGGTGAGGGCCATGCTAGACAAAAGTGGAGGCATACTTGAGTGAAAAGATTATTAAGAGATCGCTTCCCCAATTCAATTACTCATTTAATTGCATTGCGGCGCTTATTGCTACCTAGGCTCTAACACGCACACTTCTGTACCTGGGCGCTTGGATGAGTTGGCTTTTACTTGACTGCAGCATTACGTCACAGACGGGCATTACCTCACAGACGGAAAACAAGGAGACGTACGAACAGAGGGGAGCGGCCTAACACAAGAAGCAGAGATAAGCTGCATCCGAATCCTTACCAAGACCACAGCAATAGCCAGCAGACACGAGAAGCAGAGAGAGGTTGTACAGAGATCACTGACACTGCGCGAAATGGAGGGGGAAGGGGGGCACTTTGCCGTGAAACGCCGGAGATACGACCTCGTGCGTAAATCGGCAGGGTGGAGCGAACCGGAGGCACTACTAGCAGGGAACAACAAGTCACGCAGAGGCGAGGAAAGAGACAAGCGACATAAAGATCAGATCAATCCGAATTGGAGAACGTGAAAGTTGGGATACAGGAAAAGAGACAAGCGACATAAAGCGACATAAAGATCAGACAATGGCGAAGGCCGATGAATGAGGTGAAGCGCGAAAGCTAATATTGTGGAAAAGAGAGCGGAAGGCTGCTCTCGATACGCCGGAAATTCCACCACGAAAGAGAAGCTGACAAAGAGAATGGGAGCAGGGGATGGAAGCGCGCGCGCGCGGCAAAGAAGTTGAAAGTGGTAAATCCGTGGAAGGACGATAGAAAGAGCCCGTGGGAAGGGAGCAAAGAGGCACAGGCAGAGGCAAGGCGGGGAGGGGAGGGGCCACGGAGGAGGGGAGGATGAACAAGGGGACGTCGGACGTACCTCTAGCGCGTCCCGGCGCAGTGCCGAATATTTGAGTAGAAGCAGGTACAATGCCGGCGGTTAAGAATGGGCCGGACTGAATTCCAAGTGTGGGAGCTGCCGCGAGAGGAGATGTGGACTGCTGCGGAGGCTGGTCCACGAGAACGGGCACTCCTGGAGTCGCTACGAAGGGAGAAGGCCCTGCAGGGGCAGCAGGAATGATGCCATTTGCCGCGAGAGATGCCGCTGCCGCTGCCGAACGGTCCGCATGATGGACCGGTACTCCGCCGACGACCGGACTGCCACTGGCAACGCCTCCCGCCAAAGCCGGAGCGCCTGAGCTGATGGTCTGCATCCTTAACAGCCTCCACCGAAACCTATATTGACCCCCCCCCCCCTTGCCTACTCTCCACCCCCCAGCTCTTAACTAGTTTACCTATCACCTATTCTTGATCCTCCCCCGATTCCTTCCCACCTCCGGCCGCCGAATCACCGCCCTCGACTCCACCCAGCAGGCCTCTCCCGCGATCGGTCGATTGATTGATTGATGGGATGAAATGTAGACAGAATGTGTGATAAACGACGTCACGCAGTGAAAGAGAGGGAACGGCTGAAGAGAGAGAGAGAGAGAGAGGGAGAGAGAGAGGAGAGAGAGAGAGAGAAGAGAGGGGTAGATACGATTGATGAATAGCTCGAGAGAGATCTATGGATGGATAAATGGATGAATGGATGAGCTCATGGATGTATGGACAATGGATAGCGACGGGAGCTCTAAGTCCTCTCGTACCACCAATTTTGCTGCGGTACCAATTTTGCTGCGGTTGAGTGGGCAGTTTCTATGGGCGCCCAACCCGGGCCCAGTGTCCGGCTTTATTTCATATCTAGAAACCGGCGAGAGAGGGTCGTTACGCCAGAAAATGATGACATTCAAATCGCCAAACCATGCTTTCGTGCACCTTCACGTTCCTTCATAGGCCAGAGAACACCCCGTCCGCAAGCGCACGCCATTCCCACTCCTCTTTTTCTTCTTTCCGCCGGTAGTCGTGACGCCGCCTCCTGTCCATAAAATCAAAGCGCGGATTGCTCGAATCGTCTAGACGATTTACCGCTATTGGCATCCATGAAACGCCCGGTTCCTGTCCATAAATACCCTCCCGTTTCCCCCAATTCCGCCTCCTCCTCCTCAATAGCCCACACATAAGTCTCTTCTTTTCCGTCGTACCCTCCTCCTCCTAGCCCGGATTCCGCATCCTCTCCCTCACTGTCTCGCCTAACACCCCAACAGTAGACCACCTTCTTATTCGCGGTATCGCGTCCGTTATCGAATGACCGCCATCATCTGCCAGCATCGCTAACTGACAGAGAATCTCTGAGAGCGCGTCATCGCCATGGCTCCATTGACGACGGGGAATAAACAAGCAACCTCCTAATTGTCTGGACGAATAGTCTCCACTCTGCGAGCGATCGTATGACGACGGGGAGACTGCGTAGTAGGCAAACCTCCTCACTGTCGTTATCCCTTCGCCTTTTGTCCAACCCCGTCCTCCAGCTTTTCCGCTCAACGGCCAGGCTCGGGGGCTGAAACCCCTTCTTCCTGAAATGCGCACCTTGCTTAAGATTCTCAAGCCATGACACTCTGTGCCATAGACTTTTCTCGAGTACACAAGAAGTTTAGATAACACGCCGCGTCGGAAACTTACTCACCTCTGCCAAGGGCATCTGGAGTGGCGGCGATCAGCACACGCACACGCACGCACACGCACGCACACGCACACGCACACGCACGCAAACACGCGCACTCAAGCGCACACACACAACACACACGCACACACACACACACACACACACAAAACACGAACGGACAATCCCCTTGACCCCCTCCGCCCTCAGTCGCCACGCCACTCGACGCCACGCGACGCCACGCCACGCCACGCCACGCAACACCACGACACGCCACGCCAAGCCACGCGCCACAACGCCACGAGTCGCCAGCTTCACTCCGCGCTCCCACGCGCCGCGCGGATTTGATTCCGCAAGCCGCCCAAGTTCCTCAAGACCAATCACAATCTCCCGACCGACCCGACCGACCTCCGAACCAAAATTGAGGCTCGTAAATTCTCACATCTGCCTGCTGCGTGGTCCCTCCCAAAAGCAGTCGAGAGGGCCAAGAAAGGAAACTGGGTCGCCCGCCACTACCAGCCACCCCACCTCTGCGCGACCGAGAAGGCAACCACACCCATGGGGCCTAGCCCCACCAACCATGGCGTCGGGTCCACTGGTGCTATGTTCGTGCTAAAAAAGCATGAACCTGCCCATTTTCGAGACTCGGACCATGTTCTCTAAAGCACAAACATAGAAAGAGAGGGGGTGGACTCCCCTCCGCACCGGCAATTCTGGGCACTTGTGAGATGCTGAAGGCCGGCTTTGTTCTGATGTCTATTCAGGGAAATCTCCGAGTGAGTAATCCCTTGGTCCCACTGCGCACCCTCGAACGTTATCGTGTAGCACAAGATTTTACCTGTTGAATCTGGACAGGAAACAAAAAAAGAAAAAAGAAAAAAAAGTTCAAACAAGATACCGTTGCGCTGCCACAAATAGCCCTTCCCATCATTCCGCACTATTCTACCGCGTCACGGAAGGACATTCGACTCCGGTCGGTCAGAAAGAAACAAAAGGGGGAGCAGAGGAGCAGGCGCAAGAGCATGAATGGAGCTCTGGAGTGTGAGGTGAAGTCGAACGCACCCCAAGAAACGCTGCATGCTGCCCGTCACGCACAGCCAAGGCCAACGCCATTGACGCCACCACCACCTCTTCCTCTAGCACACAGGAACAGCAAACGCAAGCCACGATGAACCCAATCAAGGGAAGCAAGCTTGAACAGCCAATGAGCAGGTCTGTCCCGCTCCCCTCAAGCACACTTAATGGATTCTCGGCAGACTCGATTGCGTTCCCACTCTCGTGCTCGAGGCTGTCCATCTTGAACCCCTCCACCCTCAGTCGCCACTCCATGCCACTCCACGCGACGCCACGCCATCCAACACCACGACACGCCACGCCAAGCCACGCGCCACGATGCCACGAGTCGCCAGCGACGTCACTCCGCGCTCCCACTCGCCGCATGGATTTGATTCTGCAAGCCGCCCAAGTTCCTCAAGACCAATCACAATCTCGCGACCGACCTCTGAACCAAAATTGAGGCTCGTAAATTTACACAGCTGCGCTGCTGAGTGGTCCCTCCCAAAAGCAGCCGAGAGCGCGAAGAACGGAAACAAGGTCGCCCGCAACTACCAGCCACGGAGGTGCGCAAGCGAGTGCGCAAGCGAGAGCGCCACCTCTGCGCGCCCAAGATGGCAACCACACCGATATGTAGGGCCTAGCCCAACCAGCCCTGGCGTCGGGTTCCCTGGTGCTATGTTCGTGCTAAAAACGCATGAATCTGCCCGTTTTCGAGAATCGGACCATGTTCTCTAAAGCACAAATATAAAACGAGAGGGGTCGACTCCCCTCCGCATCGACAATTCTGGGCACTTGCGAGATGTCGAAGGTCGCCTTTGTTCTGATGCAGATTCAGGGAAATCCCAGAGTGAGTAATCCCTTCGCTCCACTCCGCACCCTCGAACGTTATCGTCTAGCACAAAATTTTACCTGTCGAATCTGGACAAGACGGCCTTAAAAATATATATATATATATATATA